CATATTGTTTGCAATAATGAATTGCATGATTTTGGATAATCTGGGGAGGACAGTAATGGGGTGGTAGTTAAATGGGTCACTACGGGAGCCATCTTTGTATTTGGATGACATTATTCCTCTTTTCCATGTTCAAGGGAACACAGTCTTGTCGAACATACGTTGGAATAGTTCACTTAATGGCTCAGCTATGTTACTTGCCGGATTGGTAGGGGTTTGTGGGGAAAAATCAATTGTAGTTGGATGTGGTCAATCCTCGAGTAACAGAGACAGTCGTAGTCCGGACTCGGCAGTGCACATTTGAGCGAACTGAAGTTTATGGAGGCGAAATCTGTTTTTCAGCCGCCTATCTGTAAAGTCTCGCACTGCACAGATTGTCTTTTAGCCCATGTTTATCTACCCCTCAAACTAGCCTTAGTTTCGGTTCGTACCACTCTGAATGTTAAACTTCCGTGGTCTGTTTCTGCTTGTGATGGATTTTACCATTATGGTTTCACGTTCATTTTTATACTCATAACATGGCGAAGTTGTTTCTCGCACGCTACTTCCGATTCTGTTGAGCGCACGTTTCCTTTCAGCTCAAAGATTCTTTGTTCTTTTTTTCTCAGGCGATCGGTCCGTTACCAGTGACTTTCCTAGCTGGTAGTCCTCGTCATACACTTCTACCGGAGGATTTCAAAGCAACATTAAAGTATTTGCGGGCTGCTGATCCGGACCATGTTCCTGCATTTGTGGACACATGCTTGCGTAATGCCGGTAAGTGGTGGTTGTTGTGGTCGTGAATTCTGTCGCTATTACTCGTCTTTCACCAAAGCGTGTGTAAACTAGACCAAATATGAACAGTGAATTCATCATGTATCACAACAAGACCGGACAACGATTGTTTCTTCAGCCATGGTTGGCGAGTGCTCTGCGATGCATACAACCATCTTCTAATAGCCATTTATACATTTGAGATATTACTTATGCCTTTCTTTGTGATTTGCTTGAGCAAATTATGGGCACCTTGGTGGCGAGAACAAATGCTACAAAGCGTTCAGTCATTTTCGCTACAATCTTTTTGATACAGAAACAGTTTCAGTTCAGTTTTCACAGCCATTTGCCATACACGTGCGGCGGTTTCGTTTGGCTGCCCACTTATATATTATATATTTCACACACGTCTGTGGCCAGACGGTGCTAAACAAATCATGGTACAAAAATGTTTTATGAAAAGAAAAAAAGGTTCCATGATGTGCATGTGGGCGCAATACTACCCAGTTGCCCAAGCCAAGTTACGTGAATTTCTTTAGGCATTTCACAGTCGGAGTCTTCAGCTAGCCAAAGCCTCATCCGCACGGCAGTGGGGTGGTATATGAAAACTGTAATCCATTGCGGGCCGATGTCTAGTTCATCGGATCATACACTTGGGAAGGTGGGTGTGCGGTTCGGTAACCTCCTCTTGGTTCATTTGGAATCAATTTTTTTTAGCAAACTCCGTTAGATGAACTGTCAGTGGTTCACCAATCCGATTTTAGCCCCGGATATTGGCTTTTCGTCGTCTCACTTTGGTTAGAAGTTAGTGAATAAAGCTTCCTCAGCTCATTTGGACGAGTCAGTAGGAGAAAACCAGGAAAGTCGGAGAGTAAGTGGAGAATTTGAGTGAACCAAGGTTGTAGATAAATTGAGATGCGCGATCGCTACATTTTATAACACTCAGCTATATCAACCAGTATCTCAAACCATTGTTGACAGTGATATCGAGGTTCCTATTAAGGGAGCCTAATGCGAACTATATGATCGAGTCTTCCGACTGAGGTTTTCATATCCTAATGTCAATTATTATTTTGATCACCCTTAACTTTTTTCCACCCACTACCTGCTTCGGCAAACATCTCCGTGGCAACGTATTAGGCGACATGTGTAGCACATGCCCCAATCATCGTAGTCTATAGTGGACGACGAATTGCTCCGGCGGTTGAGCTCTGCACCTAACCTCGGAATTGCTTATCCGGTTGCCCCTCTAGATTCGTGAAATGTTGCGTAGACGACGGTGTTCAAACACCGACAGTTTATCTTTCCGTTTTCTTAACGGCCAACTTTCTGCACTGTATAGCAAAACTGGCCGCACT